TCGTATTCTTCCGTGCATTCATTCACTCCATCTAAATCAGAAGCTTGAAGCATACGTGTAAAGAATATGTCGCCCACTGTGGTCATCGCTTGATCGGGGAAGTTTCTGGAATCTATAGTGACCTGAAGACCTCGAAGCATTGGATTTTCTAAAACTGTTCTTTGCATTGCATTCTTCGGAAATGTTAACACAACATCTGTAACATTATGAAGAGCGTATGAGAAATCTGAGCTAATACCTTCAGGAGTGATGCAACCTCCATTTAGTGAACGAACGTCAATATGTTGAGCTGGAATCATGAATGGATCTTCCTTACTGAATAAACGTGGTAATTGCTTTAACTGATTCTTCAATTAAACCGTATCCTGGTGTAATACATTTATCCTCTAAAACTTCCATCTTTGTGCATGAATAATAACGTCTTCAACTGTTGCGTCAGCAGATGTAGCGGCTAAGCTTGTAATTAATTTGGTAGGAAGTCCGATTTGTTGGAATTTGCGATCATATTTATAAACATGATTCATAATCTTTTCATAATTTTCATCAGTTATCTTTTCATAAACGTAATTTTGTAAATCAGCAACTCTTAACGGGTCAACCTGACAAAATACTAAAGTATCCCTGAAAACATAATATTTAAGAATGATTTCACCAAATGATTTAGGATAATCATCGAACGCCTGAAATGCTAACAAATCATTTACCGGAATAATCATATCAAAAGTGACATCAACTTCTTCATTTGCTTTCTTGAAAACTTCTGAAGGGTCAATATATTTACCACATACTGAGTTATCATATTTTTGAACATTATTATATAACGAATGAACAAACTTTTTAACTTTCCTTTCTGATTTTGGTTTATATGTTGCAAATGCGAAAGATTCACGGGCGCAATCCATCTGAAGATAACCGGCATCACCTCTTTCGGTTTCTACTTCTAATTGTTTAAAGCTTTGATTTGATGATTTGTAACCAACGAATAAACGCATGCATTTAAAAGCGGCATCACATGTGAAAGCTTTATTTGAAACTAGAGTTGCTTTAACTTTGCGTTTAATATATGTGTCACCTAATTGGTTCACATCATGAGCCGGATTTGTAATTCTTAAATGAGTTTGTTTATCATCAAAATATGGAGCATCAGAGTCATAGCATGAACTTTCAAGTTCTCTATAATATCTTCTACCGTCATTCTTTGCAAATATTTCATTTATCTTTTCGAATGAATGAAATACATTTCCATTAATCGGTTTTGTGTTTGGCACTAAATAGTTAGTCGTCATTTATTATTAAATAAAAAATCAAAATTAAAAGATGAAAATGAATTTTTAATTTTAATGAAATAATCAACTATGGCTGCAGGATTCTTTAAGAAACTGTGGGATAAAGTAAAAAGAGGAGCGCATAAAGTTTGGGAAACAGTGAAGAAAGGAGCAAATTGGATATTTAAGAATAAAGAAGCAATTAGTGATGTTGCTGAATCAATAACACCAAAAGCTGCCCCAATAAGAGAAATTTTAAATAAAGGAGAAAAAGTTTATCAAAGACTACAACCAATACTAAGATAAAAATAATATTTATTTATTTTTCCACTATTTACCCCCTATTTTATTAAGTATTCCTTCAGCAATTCCACCAATTGCGTTACCTGCTTGTGCTCCCATCGCCGGATTACCTGCTTTAGTACCTAATACTCCACCTATGATAGTTCCTGCCGTTTTCGCTACTGGTGCCAAAAAGTTAGCAACAGGTTTAATAACCTTTTTATAAACCCAACTGCAGCTTTCTTAATTCCATCCCATAATTTTTTAAAGAATCCTGCCGCCATTTCTGATTTAATATTAATTAAAAAATATATTTCATCACTTATATTCTAATTTTTTATTTAATGATAAATGAAACCAATTTTAAAAATAAATGAAACAGAGGAGGAAGAAATAAATGAAAGTGAAAATGTTCAACAAAAAATAAACGTTGTTAAACCAATTACTGAAATAAAAATTTTTTCATTTGTTGATGAATTTAATGACTATTATGCTAATAATAAAAAATTATTTGAAGAATTGACAACATGTAAATTGAATAAAATGTTTAAAGTTGAGGACAGAGTCCAAGACCCAGAGGGTCATGGATTCAAAATTTCAAAAATAAAGGGGGTGGTTAGTTTGAAATCTATTCCTCAATCAAGAATCACCTCATTAATGAAAATTGATGATTTAACAAAAAGAATAGAAATTATTGAAGAGCGAATAAATCAAATTATTGATTTCATAAATTCAAATAATCATTAATTTTTTAAAGTTCTATGTTGATTCTGAGACATGAATTTTAAAAGTTTATTTTTTTATTTTCCATTTCATTATTTTCAATTTCTTCTTCTCGTTTATGAGGTCTTTGATTATGACTCCATTGATTCCATGAAATTAAATATTCTTTATCATTATATTTATACCTCATTAGCTTATTTTGGCTTTCATATTCATTTAATAATTCACAATCTTCATTTTTAAATTGAAGTTTAACCCATTCAGGATTTAAACAATGTTTAATTAATCGCGGAATATCTGACATCATCTATATATAGCTTCTTTTATAAAAGATAAAAAAATAAATTATTTTAAAATTAATGTTAATTTTTTTAATGATTTATAAATAAATATATTTTAATGCATCGTCTATATATAGATGTAACAAAAAAAGTCACTAAACCCTTTCACATATACTACTTATATTTGATTTAAAATTATTCTAAATCTCAAGCAATTTAATACTCAGCTTATACTGGAGAATCATTTCCACAATCACTTACTTTAAAAAATGTGACTTACACAAATTTTGATTATGAATTTAGTCGAAAACATACTTACATCAATGACATATGTCGTCACCATGGGGAAGAAATATCCTCCTTATACTTTCTTTACTTTTTATGAATAAAAATTTATTTATATTTTTGATTTCATTTTTCAACCTTTTTTTCATAACAATATATTTATCTTTTATATGTAGTTTAAGATTATGATGCTCGCATTCTATTTACACTTCTTCTTAATGAAATTTATTTGAAAAATAGATATCTTACTATATTATTGGATTTTCTGATATATAAATACAACTTATAGAATGAGTTTTGTAAGATTCCAAACAATAATAGATCTATCACATATATCTCATAATTATGATTTTATATAAGAAATACATCTATGAACAAACTTAATAAATACCTCATCCTAGATGAGTTCTGATCTGAGGATATATTCATTCCTTGTAAAAACCAATATTTGGGAATCTCACCCTCTATCGTCGTGATTTTGACGATTATTTTCATTTTTCGTCGAAAGACGATTATTTTTTTCATTATTCATAACTGCCCGTTATTTCATTGATCATTTAGAAAGTGTTAATATATCATATAATAGTTTCATTTATCCTCAAGTAGTGTAAAGACTCTACTGTAAAAAGTTTATTTCAAATTTCAATTCTAAGTATTCAAAGAATTTATTTGATGATAATTTATGTAAATTTTAATTGTACTACAGCAATAAACACTATCCTTCAACGTGCACAAATGTGACAAGTGGGTCATTGTAATTATGTTAACCCCAGAGAATATGTCTTAAAATATTACCATCATTTACTTTAGATATCCTGGCGCAGAATTAGACTGCTTGATGAGGATTGACGATCCTAGGATAGTCAGATTATATCAGATATACCGTTACAATGACTTCATTTACATGGTTATGGAATATTGCCCAACAGATCTCTACAAAGTCTTCTCTGCTGGTGGAAAACTATATGAAGAAGACATTTACAGATATGCGCATGATGCAGTTTTAGCTATCAAATCAGTTCATGATAAAAACATCGCTCACTGCGATATCAAACCAGCGAACTTCTTTATCGATACGTACGGAAGAGTAAAAATTGGTGATTTTGGACTTGCTTCTTTTAATGGATCTTCTTGTTCATGCAAAATGGCTAAAGGAACAAAATTATTTATGGCTCCAGAAGTATATTGCAAGAAATACACTCCAATGAAGTCTGATATCTGGTCATTAGGAGTAACACTTTACTTCTTAGCTACACAAACTTATCCATTTAATGCTCCAGATATCGAAAAATTAAAGCAATGCATAAGCATTGGACTTTTCGCTACTGATAAAGTTCAGAATAAGAACTTGCTTGCCGTTATTTCTAAATGCCTTGACAGAGATCCAGAAAAAAGACCTACCGCAGACGAAATTCTCCAAATGCCATATTTCAAGGAAAATGGTAAATCGTCTGGCGGTTGTTGTTCACTTTTCTACAAATGCGCACGGTTCTCTAAAAACATTGTTAAACCATGTATCAAATCTCAACGTTCGTTCGGATCTCTTCAATTCAGATGCTTGAATAACTCTAGAATTAAACTTTCTACCTCAATGGATCATCTTGATGATTCCCATTTAATCCCTGTTTGTTAGTAAATTTTATTTTATTGTTTAATTTCCATTATTATTCTTTTTAATTATCAATACCTGTAATAAATCAGGTATCACATCTCATGAATAATGATATTTTCAAGATTTCAAACAAAATCTTGAAAAATCTTATCAATTGATTATTGATTTATCCTATTTTGAATGACAGTTAATTTTTTGGCATATTTTATCAAAATTGCATATACATTGTTCTATTTTTATTGAAGATATGTTTAAAATTATTGTTAGTGATTTATTGTGAGTAATAGAAAGTTTTGAATAGACCCATATGACATAATATAGCTATGAGGATCAAACCTTAAATGCTATTCTAAGAGATTTTCAATTTTTCACATTTAAATCAATATATTCAGCAATAATTTATGGATAAACGAATGGATAATGATTAATTCCGGATTAAAATCCATATGATACTTCATAATTCCACATCAATGAAAACATTTACTCTTCAAATTAAAAAGATAAAAACATTTGAACGCAATAATAACTGTTTAGAAAATAATATAAATCAATTTACCATCCATCACCATTTCCATCGCGCTTCCAAGTCTTCCTTGGATCAACATAGCGATAGAATCTTTCACGATTGCGAAGCCTTTGGATTTGGTCTTTTGTTAACTCAAAGTCCAAATGATTATTCTTGTAAATTCTCTCTGGAGTAACACTCTTTGCAAGTAAAGAAGCTCCAGGTTCAATAGTAAGAAGGAACTTTAATTCAACCTCACCAACTGATTTACCTGTCTCAGCAGCAATCTTATTTAATTCTTCATCTTTAAGGACAACTGGCTCATCAGGTTTAGCCCAGTCTGGTGTACCAAGAGTAGAATAACCTGTAACGATAATTCCTTCTTTATGCATGTATTCTCTGAGTGGACCTTGTTGCATGTATAAGTTGAATTCAACTTGGTTTGTGTAGGGTGTTGTTTTTGCGTCGGAATATTTCAATCTTTCGAGCTGATTGATTGTCCAGTTTGAAACGCCAATTCTCTTTACTAAACCTTTCTCTACAAGCTTCTCCATTGCTTTCCATGTATCAATTAAGGAGACTCCGTCATCAAAAATTGTATTTCCTTTTTCATCTAAAGGATTAAGGCTACCGCCAATTCCAGTGTTCTGGAATGCAAACGGATAATGCATTAAGTAGAGATCAAGGTAATCAAGACGTAAATCTTTAAGTGTTTTTCTGCATGCTTCTTCAACAATCTCAAGGCGATGATGTGTGTTCCATAATTTGGATGTAATCCAAATGTTTTCGCGTTTTATGCCGCTGTCCCAGCATTGCTGAAGTGCTTGTCCAACAATATCCTCATTTTCATAACACAAGGCGCAATCTATATGAACATAGCCAGCTTCTTTGATGGCATAAGTAATAGCATTAACAAGATCTTCAGATCTTGGAGATTTCCATGTTCCAAGGCCAATAGTTGGAATTCGATTCATCGTATCGGATGTCAATTTTATATAAATTTTACCTCACTTCATTTTTAAAAATTCACCACCCTCGAGATGATGATAATGTTCAAAATTACATTAGAGATCTCTTCACAGAAACAATCATAATTGCATAACAGAAAGGGGGATTTCACAGACAACAAAAATATCGACCAAATTTCGATCATTTTGTTCAGAATATGAAGCATATTAATAGTGCGTATGGGCAAAAATACAACTTTTACGATCTAAAAAAAGGGTTTTCTCCTTTTGTTTGGATCTCTACATTCAAAAAAAAATTCCACTAAAAATAAACTTAAATAACCTAAAAGTGGAACTTTGCAAAAGATACTATTTAATGACAACCGATCAATTGGACTAGTAAACTTTCTTTTTTATTATATAATATTATAATTGTATTGAAAAATGATATCCCATATTGAATTTCGTTAAATATTAGTAAGAAGAATGAAATTTTACCAAATCCAGCAATATTCGAATTTCATTTCAAATCCAATTTTAACTCTTTAATCCAAACTCTTCCTGAAAAATAAACCATGCACACAACAAACCTTAGAAATATTAAGCATATTGCAATGCTTTTCAAATATTTTTAAATATATTTGAAGGATTTGATTTAAAATTTATTTAAAAAAGTTATTTTCTTTTTGTTTAACACATATTAAGCCCAAGCTAAACTGAATGTGAATTTTACAACACAAAACTTGAATACATCTATACATTAAAAGTCAATGCGATAATTTATTGACCTCAGAAAAATATTCAAAAATTTCCTTTGAATTTTTTTTCCTCCAAAAATACTACGCATACGCTTTATAAATAAAAATCATATCTTAATTTTTTTTTCCACATATGCCGATTATGATTTGAGGACAACTCCTCGAAGGTGGCAAAAATGCCGTCCTTCTGAAAGAACTAATCTATAAATAAGCTTAGTACTAATACCACATTGAAATAAACTCAGACACAATGAAATTAAATAGCAAGGAGACATACTTATCAATTTTTTGTGTAAATAAAAGAAAATGAAAATTCAATAAAAAATACCTTTTTCTTGTTGTACAATATATGTTGGTAAATATTTTATTTATGAAAATATTCTGCCAATTCGACGGTTTGAAAATTTTACTTTTATCAGTATTTGCTTCATTCTTAATAATGGGTAAACAGCGGCCAATCTTTCCGCGGATCATACATAGCATTGATCGCAAGCACTTTGAAGTATATTCATGCGAGGGAAGAGGTATTATCACATTATTATTTTCCGCCAATTCAGAACAAGAATTGAATGAAAAACTCAAATTAAAAAGGAAAGAATACGAGGAAAAGAACCATTTAATACAGACAAATGGAAAAAATAAAAATTTTCGAAATCCCGAAACCTACTCTGTTGTCTACAAGTAATACTGTTGAAAATACAGCTTTATGCGAAATTTCGTATCAAGAGAATTTAGACTCTTTAGGATTTAGCGGAGATGAATGTTCTTTATCTGATGAAAATTTTGATGCTGGCATTATAAATATTGAAGATATATATTAATTACTTTTAACAATTAAAAATCATATTAAAGCTATTAAAATACACTGTAGTAGTTCAAATTTTTTTCTTTTCAATTTTTTTTCTATTAGTATTCAAATTTTGAATAAAATTCTGTCCTCTTCAATTTATATTTAGTCGGACCAAAAAATGAAAGATTTTTGATTTATTATTTCAAACCATTTAATAAAAAATTTTGAAATCATATTATTATAATTTCATTCTAATTTCTTAATTTCAAATAAACCGACACTTTTAACCTTAAATTCCATTTTTAAGAATAATTTGAAACAAATGATTCTGATTATATGAAGAAAAGTGCATGCGTTCACTTTTTTAAAATTTCTACTAATCTTGATATTAATTAAATTATTCTGAAATGCGCGTGATAATTATAAAACAGCAACACTACTCATATCTTTGTTGTTAATATCCAGACTTTTTACAGGTGTGAACCACTGTGAAATTGCTTGATGAAAATCTCTTAAAAAAGATATGGTATTTCACAAATTATAATAGAGGAATTATTTTCCAATTTAATATTTATTATTTACATAACTCCCTAGAAATTGGTATTGATTTTGAATTCTTAACTTTTATAATGAAAAAATATAAATAATTATGTGATTTAATAAGGTAAAAGCATTAAAACAGCATGAATCCCATAAACTGGCAATCGTATTGAGTTTTAATCAGGCAAGTCAAAAGTCCGACCAATTAATCACTATCGTTCTCAATTCATTTTTTGTGATTGATGAGGTTTAAATTTATAAAGGCCTCAGTTGAGAGGTTTTTCATGTTATGTTAGGACACGAGGTGGCAAATATGAGTTTTATCTTTTAGAAATTGATAGTTTCTGATAATGACAATAAGGAATTTTTGAAGGCTGACGTAACGCATTGGAGTTATAACATTATATAAAAATCCTGTCACATTTAAACCATTGAGATCATGCAGTTAAATATACTCTATCTATTCTGTGTTCCAATATTTACCCAATTTTCTGAGAGCATTTTTTCATCCATTTAATTGCAATTATTGTTTATATCATATATAGGAGGTAGAAATGAATCATATAATGACTGAATCACGATCAAAACTATGATCCAAATTAAGGAACTTTGATTCAATTGAATTGCATCCTTTGAAATAAACACAAAAATTCTTATAGTTTATTTGTGAAGAAATACTGTTATATCATATCACTGTTGGACTTCTTTCATTTTGGTTTTCAAATGTATCCCAAAAAGTTTATGAATTATGCAAATTTCTAATAAATTATCTATTATCTATTATCTATTACCAAATAATAAATATTGATGCATTCTTTAGTTTTATTTATGAATAATCAAAATGGAAAAATAAGGAATTTTACTCAGAACGTTATCTTTTCAAAAATATTCATTACAATTGAATTTAATTCAAAATTTCAATGTCAGATACAAAATTTATTATTGCTATTAAAATTTATTTGTAATACAATATAATTTATTATGATAATTAATATTCAAAACAATTAAAAAATCATTTCAATGAACACCAATATAAAACTAGATTTAAACTTTAATTCTAGTATAAATAGTCATTTATTTAAAATGTGCTTATTATCAAGAGTTAGAATGGCAATTTTTATTGTAGTGAAACAATATCTGATTATCCCATCTGAAGATAACAATTGAAAGTTATAGTGTAGAAATTTGTAAGGAAGCTAGCTGTATGATTTGATTTGCAGCTATCAATATCATATAAATCTTAAAATTAATAAATCAAATAAAAAAATATTTTTCAACATTAATTTAATGGTCATTTAGTTAGCATTCTACATATATTCGATTTCATATGATATTTTCGCACTAATATTGAAAATAATTTAGGCAATAAATAATTGTTTATGCATTTTTGAAAAATTTATCAATATTTTGAACTAATATCTAATGGGTCATAATATTTTGCTGTTTTGGATCAGTTTTTGGAGTTGCAAAAAAATAAAGAAAGTAACCTTTGAATAGTTTTTGAATAGATCGCGAATATCCGTCAAATTGTAATATTTCAAATAACGTTTCTCATTGAATTTTTAAGATATATTAGAAGTATTCAAATTCTTAACGTGCTTAACAATGAAATAATTATCATAATTTTATAGTTAATTGTATTGCTTAAAACATATTCTTATATGACTTGGAATCCGCAAATGATTTTTTGACAATCAAAAAAATTTGAATTCGCAAAATGTTCAATAAAAAATACATTTATAATTTTTCTTCTATTAAATTTATGACTTCTCTAAAACGATGCTAACAAAAGTTTGTAAATTAACCTCAAAATTCACTTACAAATTTCCTTGTCCCCTCAAAAATCATTCCTGAAAAAATTTTCCCAAATTTTATTATTCTATTTTCTTATATTTTACTTTAAAATAATAGCAAATTTTCAAAAATTCAATTAAATTCATTCAACGTGTTTATAATTATTTGATAAATGCTTACAAATATATTTATAACTCATATGTCGATAATCCAAATTTTATCTACCGGTGATCGATTGGATTCATTCAATTTATTTTTTTAATTTAAAAACATTAACCAATCTTTAATCAATCATTTTAAACTAAAATATTTTTGATAGAGTCCCAAATTGTAAATTATAATTGACAAGGTTTAAAATTCATAACTTTTTATTTATTATTACTGCATGCAATTAAGTATACTTTTTTCAATGCGTCCACATAATATTCAAAATTGAAATGACTTTTATCATTTTCAACAATGGAATCTGTTTCTAACGAGCAAGCAATTTGCAACACCAAGAGTAAGCGCTTCACACCAGAGGAAGATGCCATTATCAAAGAGCTTGTAGAAGTTCAGAAGCTTTCGCCTTGGTCTCAAGTTGCAAAACATTTGCCTGGAAGGACTGGAGCTCAATGCAGAGATAGATACAATACATATTTATATTGTGAAATATCATCGAAGAACTGGACTCATGAGGAGGATGAAATTATTATTGAAAAATATAGAGAATACGGCCCTAGATGGGTGATGATAGCCCAACATTTACCTGGAAGAAATGGTAAAAGTGTTAAAAATCGATGGATAAAAGCTTTGAAGAGATATCATGGAATATCTCATAAAGATATAAAATATGAGAGAAGATTCAAAAAATCAAAATGGGAAAGGCAGGAAGATGATGATAAAAGTTTAACTTCTTCTGAAGTTGATTCTAAGATCCAAAATAATATTGATTCTATTCTGTCAATGTTAAATTTTGAGGATCGATATGATGATATCTTTGATCAATTTGTAGAACCCATTGCATTTTTATAATAATATCAAAGGGATAATCATAAAATTGTTTATATTACTAAAGAGTGGCCTTTCTATTTCTTAAATACTCATTTTTATGTTTTCATCTCAAATTTTGCGTTATTGCCGTTACAGAGTCAAAAAGATAAAAAAATTATTTTTATTGTTTTTCAAAAATTCGATATTTTTCTAAAACAGCCAAATATAATACATTTTATGCCTAGTTCAAAAGGAGCAAGGTTAAAAGAAATCGTATGAAGAATGAGATATTATTTCGGTAAAAAAGGGGGTTGGCGTCCTAAGGCGTCCTAGTGTAAATTTCTCAAAATTGTGATATTTACATCACATTTTTGAGAGGTTTATGGGCGTCCTAAGGGAAAATTGAATAGCTAGGGCGTCCCGAATTTTCATTCTAAGATTTAAATATATTATATACTTAAGTATAATACAAGCAATATAAAAATTAAATTTTTATTATGTTAACTTATAAGAAATTTTTTTGAATTATCGTTGATTTATTGTAATCTTTCCAGGCTATACTTTTGAAATCAACTTTACCTGTCATACGCATTAATGTAGTAGATGTCCAGGTGTAGCTATTATATCCCAGCAACATTGGTATTTTATCATTGTAAGATATCAAAATGAAGCGTTTTTTCAGATATAATTTTTCGTAAATTTTTCAAAAATAAGATGGTAAAAAAGCCTCGACTTGCTCGAAAAATAACAATTTTTTTACATGTAAAAATAAGCCTTTTACAGCATGAGCAGCTATTCAATCACTATTTCTTTTTCTAAAAGTATATTTTTCAAAAAAAATTAAGATCAAATTCGACAATTTCTTGATGAAAGCAAAAATATTACACATACTTCTAGATGCATGGGATAAAATATGCAATTATTCAATCAATTCGCATGATTTGAAAAAAAAATCTAAATTTGATAAAAATGTAGAAATTTTTTATTTTTAACTTGAGATTCAGGTCAGGTATGAGGGGCTTCCAGGGGCTGCGCCCCTTCTAGCCCTAAGAATTTTGCCCAAGACCCAAGAGGAGGACCGAACCCAGCCGACCAGCCGGTGACAAAACCAAAACCGTTTTTAAAAAGTGACAGACAACTCCGTTTTTTAAAAGTGACAAAACCGTTTTTCACTATATAAGAGATATGCAAACAAAAAAGTGACAGCCGCTTGTTTTAAACTACAAAAACCGTTTTTTACTTCACTTAAAATGCCACGTAAGCTACGTAAGAATATACGTAAGAGGAAGAGAGCATTGAAACATCCAATAGTAAAACTGACACCACAACAACAGTTGCAACAACAAATGATGAATGACCCCACTATGTTGCAACAAATGTCAAGCAACCCTATGCTTTTAAACCGAGTTATTGGTGCACAGAGTGGAGGTTTAAGAGCGGCACTTTTAGCGAAAATGGCAGGCTATGGTGGAGCTGCAGACGGAACAGCTTATAACCCTCAAAGTCAAATGAATTTGAGTTCACTCAAAAATCAAATAACAGATGTCAAAAAGTCAAACATAGACATACAGAAACAAATAAGTGAAAACGAAAAGAAACTAGAATATGACAGACACACAAAGAAACTCAATGAGTTAAACGTAGAGAAAAAGAAGAAAGAAGAACAACTGAAAGAACTAAGTACAGAGGAATATGCGAAAAAAGTGTCAGAAAAAGCAGCAGAAGTAGCAAAAATGGAACAAGATGTTATAAATTTGAAAAACCATACTACTCAATATAAAGTACTGAAAGATGAAGAGATAAAACAAAAAGCCCTGAAGACATATATGGATAGCGATGAGTATAAAAAAGAAGTTGAAGCAAATGTAAAGGCAGAAAAACTTTTACAGTTGCAAAACCAAACCGTACAGTATGAAAACTTAGCACAAGAAAGTAAAAATAACGACGCAGCCATGCAAAAGGCAATGAAAAGCGCAGAATATATAAAAGCTAATAATGACTGGTTAGATGCCCAAGCCAACGCTAAAGCAGCCCAACTTATAGGGTCAATAAGGACAAAAATACAAGCGGATGAAGACAGTTCAAATGAAGCTTTAATGAATGCCGACTTTAAGAATGCCTTCGAAGCTCTTCATAGTAAGGTGAAACTAGTGAACGACTTCTCATCTGGAAAGAAACTGAAGTCTGAAGGTTTCGACAAAGAGTTAAAAGAAGTAGCACAAAATATGACGAAAATAACAGATGCAGCAACTAGACAGGCAGTTCAAAGTGCCTATGACGCCGTTAGAGCAACTGTTGTGGAAAGTCAAGAAAAAGAGTTACAACAGACCAAAACAGACCTAGTAAATGCTTTCTTAAAAACGAAAAGTCAGGTAGGACATTATGCTGCAGATGGAACATATGTGCCAGCTGGTGGAACTTATATACTAGCTAGTGGAACTTATATACCACCAAACCCTCCAAGAGAAGCACCTGCACCAGGACTACCTAAAACATTTACATCGTCACATGGACACAGACACAGGCATGCACCAAAACCAACACAACAACCAACAGTTCAAAATCCAGCACCACAACAACAACCAGCACAACAACCACCTCCACAACCAGCACAACAACCAACAATTCAAAATCCAGCACAACAACCACCTCCACAACCAGCACAACAACCAGCACAAACAGAGCAAGGACATAAAAGAAGTAGAGAACAAGGAAACCAAGAATTCTTAAAAATGCTTAAGGAAGAATATGATTACCCAGATACTCTTGACTTTAGTGACAGATATAAAGAAGCTATTAGAAAGTTCAAGGAAGGAAATACTGACCCGAACCTATTTAGCTTTATGGTTCAGCACCAAATGGGATATAATTTCAAACCTGGAAAATACAAGCTCGCTAAGGGATATGATTTAATAGCATATCATCCAAATGACATGACTGAATTTACTCCGAGATATTTGATGTCAGAGATAAATGATGATTCAACTCTCTTCATGAAACGCGTAAAAAATAGAGACGGAACGAAAGAAGAAAGGCTTATGAATGCGGATGACTTAAATAGGGAACTTGTTAAAAACGGTCTCGGAATATATGAAATGCCAGCAGATGAGGTACAAGAAACTCCACAGGAAGAAGTTCAGATACAACCAGACATGGAAGAAATAGTTCAGCAACAACAGCTAGAAGAGCCTGAAGGAAACGAACAAGTCCCTCCTTTGGAAACTAACTTCACAGAACTAGATGAAGATTTGGAACAGCCGAAAAATCTTGACCCTCAACAAGAGTATGCGGAGAATATGGAATCTTTCCAAGAGTCTAAGAAAAATTCGGCTGACATAGTAGAAGAATATCGAAAAATGTTCGCCGACATACAAAAGACTCCAACATCAGATGAAAATATTCAGCATAGAATGGAAGAACTGAAAGATAATGTACGCAAATACAATAACCCTTTTTACTTACGACCATATAACGTTCAATCTGTGGCTGAACTCGGTGAAAATAAAAGGTTAAATTTCAACAAAACATATAGAAATGAAACATTGTTTAAAGTTCATTCAGAACCTAACCAATATGGAAACAAACCTACTTTTGCTTCTGCAGACTATGGAACTACAATGAGATGGGGTCATAAAGCTAATCCGGATAGGTGGTTCATAAACTTACAACCACAATTCCAAGAAGTTGTAGACGCAATGGAAGTGAATGGTGAACCAGATATAGCTGGTATTTTCAGCGCGGCTTTAATGCCATTGAAAGATATGAAACATGCAGATATTTTGGACCAGTATGAAATGAACATGGCTGATGGAAATATAACAACTGACGTTCTAGAACATTTATCTCAAAGAACTACACAGAACCATAGAGATGGTATATTTGGTGAAGAGTTTAGAAAGAAAGTTAGGGAGAGAGAAGGAAGAGAACCTATTGTACATGACCTTGCAAACGAAAGTTTGCAAAATGTCATAAAAACTTACTTTGCAGACAATGAACCGAGAAAGGATGAATATTTAAGAAAACTCAAATGGACAGTACCAAATGAAATGTTAGTATTGAAAAACATGTTCCTTGACAAAATAAAACCAACTACAGAAATAAATGACGCAAGACTGGAACATTGGGTAAAAGCTTTCCCATTCACAAAAGATATTATTGGTTACATGGAAAGAAAACCAGAATGGCTACAAAAACATATATTTGGAAACGAGCATATTCCATATGGACAAGCTCTGTTTGAAGAGCTTGAACCGGAAACTCAGGAAAGAGTCATGCAAACAATACGCGAAGACTCAAATACAAACTATGACAAAATCTTTCTAGGATATAGGTTACCTGAGATGGGCGACCAGAGCCCAAAGGCAAAAAGGACATGGGAAATTTACAACATACTAGGTGAACATGAGGCAAAGATGCAACAACTTGAAGCAGAGGGCAAGTTACCAAAAGCGACACCAAAGAAGAAGAGTAGAACAAAGTGAAAGTAGTGAAGAAGTAACTTCATCTAGTGAAAGTAGTGGCAATGAAGGAAAAAGAAGAGTTAAAAACTCAGTCAGGAAGAAAGTAAAGCTTGGTACGAAACAATTATGACATATAAATCCAACTATTCTATATTTTTACCCATATGAAATGTACGCCGCTCAGAATATAACGCCAACAGTTTTGGATGCCATGAACGGAAATGTTTCCGAATGGTATAACGAATGCGACAATGCCATTAGAAGGTCAGAAATAGTTCCTGGAACTTACGAATATACAACTGCTGTTTCTTATGGAAACGTAGGTGAGTTTGGAGAAGGTTCTTCAACAACAGTAGATATTGCTTGCGACAGGTTTCACATTATTTCTATTGACAACTCATTCTTATACGTGGAACAAGACATTGAAATAAAACCTTCTGCCAAGTTGTCTGACAAGAAAGGTTGCAATGGAATTTTCTATGTCGGATACCAATATGCTCCAGAAGTTTTCATGGGATATAAGATATATTCTAACTCTGACTTAGTTCAAACAGTAACATGGGCAAACTATGAATGGTTCGC